AACATCTTTATAAACGTCTGTTTACCTTGCAATTTTTGGAAGGTTCAGATTAAAGCAGAAATCTGAGTTGGTTTCGAAAACTATTTTACGGATTTATTCAGATGTCGCTATTGCGTCCATATCGAAGCCATTTTAATGTTGCTTCTTAAAGACAGAAAAGATCTATTTTTCACGTTAAGAACGCCTATGAATAGCTGTTTTGATGAGGCCTATTAGGCCGAAATGCGTATAAACAGATACATAGACGCTTGTACGTGAAATCTAATCTTTACTGTCTTTTTTATTAAATATTTTAATTTACGACTAGTCCCATCGTAAAGTACGTTTAAAAATGCATTAAACATGCTATATATGTTTTACAAGGTTTTTAAAAATGTCCAATCTCTGAGTTGTAGATTCTAGACCTCAAAATATCATGATTTTGACCAAACTGCCTTTCACAAATATTACTAGTCTCCGATTAGAGGGTGTTTAATGTTGAAATATGATTTACTATGCCTAATGTAGGCTCTAATTTAGCATTGCTAATAGAGGGCGCTAGTTACATTTGGTTGTGTTTGGTAAATCAAACCATTTTTTTTTGTCGGGCAAAATGATAGAAAAACATAAAGAAGCGATAAATTAAAAAAGTAACTCTTGTTTTATTCATGTAATTCGGTAGGTTAAGGATAATCCAATGAATTTTTATTTTGCAATAAAAAAATTTGTTTTTGAACTGTGCAGCAGTAACAAATTACAAACCAAAAATAAAAAAGTTTTTTTATACAATTCTTTTTACTCAAGATGCAACATTTACAGACGAAAAATATTTTTAATTGGAAATATAATCATTTGTGGGATTCGAAAAATCCTCATGCTACGAGAGAAGCCCATTTTCAGCACGACTTAAGGTTAACAATTGGTGTGGTGAAATATGTGACTACTTAATAGTTTCTATTATCTGTCAACAAATTTAAATAGACCTCTGTATTTAGATTTTCTTCAATTTATGTACATCAATTACTAGAGGATATACCGCTCGCCTTAATACAAAACATCTGGTTTTTGCAAGACGTTGCACCATGTTATTCTTTAAAAGTTTGTCAATACCTTAATCAACACTTTTCGCTTCGATGGACTGGTCGAGGAAGTGAGTTTGCTTGGCCACCACGAAGTCCCGATTTCAATCCTTTGAATTTTACAATTTGGTCGTAAATAGATCCAATAGTTTAAATAAAAAAATATATTCTTTAGAATTGCGAGAGAAAATAGAAGAAGCAGAGAATGAGATTAAAAATAATAGGCAAGGGTTATTTGATATTAAGAGATATATGCGAAACCGGATGATAAAGTGAATTGAAGTAAATTGTGGACATTTTGAATTTTTACTTTAAACGTTTTTTTTTTTTTTTTTTTTATTTTAATTACTTTGATTTGTTATTACTAATCATTTAGAGAATACAATTTTTTATTGAAAAATAAAAATTTATTGGACTTTTTAGAAGCGCATAATAGTAATATTTAACGCTTCTTCATATTTTTCTATTATTTTACTCATAGTTTACCCTGCAAAAAAAAATTACTTTACTGATTTACTAAACACCATGTGTAACTAGCTCCCTCTATGAACAATTATAAATTGGAGTCTAAATTACCAATCGTAATGCAAAAAAACGTAAAATTGTTTGTAAAAACGTAAGTTTCAAATATAAATTGTAAAAACATACAAAGTTATTGCGAAAATTAAAATCCATTTCAACTTTAAACACCCCCTATCCCGGTAACTCGGTATTTATTTGTATAATGCATGTTGGGCAGAATCAATATATTTTGGGGTCTATAATCTATGTCTCAGAAATTGGACATTCTTGATGAATCACTCTGTATATAAAAATTTTAATATGGTTTACAAGTTTACAAGAGAAATCGAAGATTTTGCCTAACTTTTAGTCCTCATAATTTTTTACACGGTGCATATTTCTCCAAAAACTACACATAATTAGAAAGTTTGAATCTATTTTGACAATTTACTATTAAATGAAAGAAACTTTCTTTTTTATTGAGTTAACAAACAATAAACAAATAGTTTTTCGAACTTGCAGAATCTATTCTAAAATTTTAATAACTGCTTGTCTAACGTCGACAAATCAAAACGTTTCAGATCGTTTGTAACGAGAAGGTTCAGCTTTTTTTCAGGCATATTTCAAATGCCTCATATTTGTTGCCAAAACTCAAAATTAAAATTTCATTTTATAGGTTTTAAAGATTAGATTCTAGCAATGAAAATTTTATACTGACCGGTCAATGGAAGTGATAAGTTTTGAGCAATTTTTGATGCAAAATGAGCAAAATAAAGAAAAAATTTACAGCTTTATAGAAAACTGACTTAATTTGCGGCAAAATGCAAAAATTGCATACGGAACCTGCACTCTTCACTTTCAAAACGCATTTTGATTTTTGGCGATAGCACACCCTGATTAGTAGATATCGAATTTGTACCGTCGAGTTAATACAAATTTTATTTCAGAGAACGGTTTATACAAAAAAAGTTCAAATAAACATTTTAGTTCAAAATTATATGCCATATTAATGGATAATCCAGATATTCATAATTTACCCATTTAAATTTTTATTAATTATAATACTCTCGCAAGTTAAATCTTTTCTGAAATTTCGTATAATTTTTTTAGTAAAGTCAAATAAATATTCTTTTATAAATCACAGTTTGGTAGCTTATCCGATTTCATATACATATTTGTACTTCTTCATAATTGAATCCTATTTACAAAAGAAGATGAATAATCCAGGAATTGATATTTATTTTAATTAGATTATCTCGGCTACCTTAAATGATAAATTAATTATTGATCATATCATTAATGTATCTCAATGGTAGAAGTTTTGTTGATATACATAGTCTGCTTTAGGTGCCTTCTTCTAACAAAGATTAATGATGATTCTGCCTGTCGTTGGCCTTTCTTATTGGTGACTCGAATTCTAAATTTTTAATGTTTCACAGTCACGTCAACTGTCGCCTACCTGGGACTTATCTGCCTTCAATATTTTCTTCCATTATCAGCCATAGGAGGTTATATATCTTGGACGTGTCTAAGATAATCTATTTTTCACTCTTTTACTATTCCTAAAAGTTTACGATGTATGCCCATTTGCTTAGGCTTAGTTTGTGACGTGATCTATCCATAGAATCTTCTGCTTGCGTTGAAACACCCTGATCTCAAAATTTTCCATTCTTCGTACATTGTACTTTTAAGATACATGCTTCCATTCCAGATAGCATAATACATAACAATTCACCATATTGTATCTCAACGAAAGTTGAGAATAGAACGAAACTTTGTTTAGCCAATTCTAGAATATTCATGACTTTGATTTCACCAGCCTCTGTTCCAGTTGATCTAGATTGTTCCTATGTTAACATTTTATCAATTTTTCCTGTTTTGTTTTATTAAAGGTTTTATTCTAATCAACTAAGCATAAGCAGATATCTTTTGCTGATCCTGACACTTCCGCTTCAATACGATGAAATTAAACACTGCTTCTTTCTGAAGCCAAATTGTTCCGAGCCCATGTGTTTCTCGCAATTTCTATATATTCGGCTGTAAATAATTTTTATAAATAATTTAGGGGCATGTGACTTAAGACTTATGAATCGGAAATAACTGTATTTTTTGGCATTTCTAGTTTTTGCGTGTGGAACAAACCATTACCTATGAATACACTAATAAAACTATTATTTACACATATGGCTCTAAACTGAGCGATGGAAAGTTAGGGTCTGCAGTGTACATTTCTTCCAATATCAAATAATTTAAAATAAAACTTCCTTCGCATTACTATATTTACACCGCAGAAACAGTAGCTATTAGAAAAGCTCCAGATTGACTAGAGCATGAAAATTTTGCAAGATGCTGTGATCATCTCAGAGTCTAAGTTAGTTCTTAGCGGGCTTAATAATACTAAGTTATAACACATGTGAGCTGATATGTGACAATAAATAAAAGTGAGAAACATAGATGTAACATTTATTTAGGCAAAAATCACACTTGGATAAAAGGGAATGAAATAGTAGACGAGCGTGCTAAGAATTCTACTCATTCTAATATTTATACAAGAGCAGATCTTATCAGATTTTATAATCAAAAAATAAATTTTAACTGGCAAGACAGATTGACAATATTAGCGAATACATCAAATAATTATTATTACAAGATTGATCCTACGTTACCATCCATTAACAGAATTATCATAAGTACATATTCCATTATAACATATGCAAATGATCAACAGCAACTATCACAAGATTAAAAACTAGTCACGGTGCTGTTTTCGCTCACTTGGCTAATTTAAACATTATATAATCAGGAAAGTGCTCATGCGATAATATTTCCCAGTGTGATATTAATCACCTCCTGTATGTATATATTAAAAACAAAGTACTTTTACCTAAATTGTATGAAAACCTGGTTAAAAGTAATGTGTAACTTACAGTAAACATAATCCACCTACTGTAACTCAATTAGAAATCAATATATCAATTCGTACGTAATCCCTTCTATGCATCCGGATATATAGATTAAATGTGTTACAATCAAATTTCAATTCTTAAACATAACATAAACCATTAAAAAATATGTGGCAAATGGATAAGTTTCTATGCCAAACACACTATAATCATCATCATATGAATTTTACCTCCTTACTATCTTAAATATATTGTTGAAGATTTGAGCAAACAGGTCTAAATTTTCCTCTTCAATAAGTGAATATAAACTATAATTTTTGTGAAATGTTTACTAACTGTTGGCTTCAGTTCAGCATTCGAGCTATAGTCTCAAGTTAATGGACTATATATGGGGCCTATTTTTTATACCGTTATCCTCTATGTTTTTCTTTTTGCATAAAATATATTTAAAAAATTGTATTGTTTGTGTTTAATTTACACAAAAATAATTATTACTCAAATATGTTTACTCATATTAATAATATTTTTTTTATTTCAGATACTGCTGCCCCATATGTACTTTATAAAGATGGTATAGATAGGGCTCAAAGTCAGTGGGGACCACAAGATGCTTACCCACCTCCAGTTCAACAATCAGCAGTATCGGGGGCTGGCAGTCCACAACAGGCTCTTGGCCCCACAGTACCGTTGGGTGTTGAGGCAGATACTGTTCCACCACGGGACCAAAGTTTGCCGTCACCTGCTCCCTCTCCGTATCCTGCAACACAAGCAGAACCAAGGGAGGATGACATTCCATCTGATCAACCCACAATGGATATGGAGCCAAGACCCGCATCTCAATGTTTTTCTACGGAACTTCAGCAGCAGCAGCAACAACAGGCGTATCAACAATATGCAAGAGCACCACCACCGGCAGCTCCGCCTCCTGTACCACCTCACATGTTGGGTGCAGGAAGTTTTTCAGCGTTACAATATCTGAAGCAGCCAGGAGTTATGCTAACGAGTTTAGGAGCTGACACTAGTGGTCAACTTGATCAATATGCATCAAATATGCAAGACTTGCGAGCCGGTTCATTACCTGATGTAATACAACATCAACATGCAGGGCTAAAAAAAGTTTCTAATGGTTTAAATGGAGAGTTACGGTTGTTTAAATGTCTTACGTGCGGGAAGGACTTTAAACAGAAGTCAACATTACTACAACATGAGAGGATTCACACAGATAGTAGACCTTATGGCTGTCCAGAATGCGGAAAACGGTTTCGACAACAGAGTCATCTTACACAGCACCTGAGGATTCACGCCAATGAAAAACCGTATGCCTGCGTATACTGCGAAAGGACGTTCCGACAGAGAGCGATACTCAACCAGCATCTACGTATCCATTCCGGTGAGAAGCCCTATGAGTGCCCGGAGTGCGGGAAACACTTCCGGCAGAAGGCTATCCTCAACCAGCACGTCCGCACACACCAAGGCGAGCGCCCCGTTCCTTCATAGGCGGCGGCCACTCTCGCAGCCCCCCCGTGACCAGTCGCTATGCTTGTTGTGCCGCACGACGGGCGGTTAGAGTTGGTCTGCTGCACTTCCCCACACTCTTCTTAGATATCACTTTCTGTAGATTGCTAAACTGTTTTGAAAACTATAGATAGCTTGGGAACGAATTCTCTTTGAAACTGTATATCAAAGTAACAACGAAACAATATTTTTAAATTCGTACATTATCTTATACATCATAGGATTAGCTTATAATAGAAATATAGATAGAAATTGCAATCCATGTAGGGATCTGCCAACTATCTCGATTAAACAATTTTCTTAATTCGTATATTGTCTCGAACATTCCAAAATCGTGTGAGTCATCATCATAAGCTTTGAAAAACATTTAAATATGAAGTCACTAAAAAGAAATATGTGAGAATGAAATTTTACGTTAAGTCTTTATTGATTTTAATTTTTAATTGGATAGTAAGATTTTGCTCACTCAATTTAGAATTCGAATGTATATAATGTTTAACGTTAACTGAAATTATGGTTAAATCCAATAAAAATTGAAAATAGTTGTATTTCTTTGTGATATACGTGAATGCTGATCATTTGATTGTCACTATTTTGTGAATTTATTAGTTACTTTTCCTCTTTTGTCAAGCAGTGTTATGCTCTTCCAATTTTCAACAGATTTATTCATGGAGGTGAAGGATTTTGTGGTTCTGGAAGAGTTTTTGAAACACCTTTTATGTATTAAGGATTCAACGTACACAACATTAGCGGATTCGCAGAAGTTTACGTTTCGGTGTTTTTGTCTAATTAATAGGTTTTTAAGACTTTTGTGATAGACATCTATGATAATTTATCATGATTTTACCTTCTATGCTACAGGCTCCATACCTGCCTTTCAAAAATTTTATAGTTATTATAAGTTCTTCATCCATTTATTTTTCTTGAGAGTAGTATTTAAGTTTGTTCCGCATCATTTCCTTGGGTAATAATATGTTTTATTTGTTAGGAAAAATAAAATACAAAAAACAACACAGACTACAGTCCAAAGATGAAAAATACATAACAGATTCATAGAACAAAATAAGATTATGGTAAAAGTATATGAGAAATGTTTAAATAAATTAGAAAGAAGCCTAGCTGTATATAGTGAAGAGAAAGCTTCCAATTTCGAAATGTGAATACAATATACTATTCTTTTTCTTCGTGTACCTCAGCCTTTGAGGATATTGGCGATCATCACGGCTCTTTTCTTTTCGTTCTGCAGCAATTTTAAAGAGTTGTATTGTTGTTTTTCTACTCCACTTTTTCAACCAGGGCTTACATCGTCTTCCCCGTCCTATTTTTCCTTTTACTTTCCCCTGTATAACTAATCGTATCAACTCATATTTTTCATTTCTTAGTATGTGACCAAAGTGGCTCATTTTTCTTTCTTTTATAGTTTTGAGTATTTCATTTTTTTTTCTCTTTCTTAATGTTTCTGTTTGTTACGTGTTGTGTTCACGATATTTTCAACATTCTTCATTTCAAAGCTAGCAAGTCTTTTTTCAGTTGCGTCCGTAATTGTCCAGGCTTCAACTCCATATAACAGGGCAGAGAATACGTAGAAAATCAATACTTTAGTTCTAATTTTTAGTCCTAGTTTTTCATTGCACAATAATTCTTTCATTTTATTGAAAGCATTTCTGGCTATCTCAAGGCGTCGTTTTATTTCAAAACTGCGGTCCCATTGCTATCCCATTGCAATTGTATCTAGGTATTCTCTCGAACTTTCTCTTTAACATAGATTGTTTCGTTTTCAATCTTGTTCTTACTGACAATAATTACAATTTCTGGTTTTTTTTATGTTCAGAGCGATTTCATAGGTATCGCAGTACTGCGTAGTGCGATCAATAAAAATTTGCCTTCTCTGCTGTCCGCAAGGAGTATTGTATCGGCTGCATATTTGAGATTATTCACTAGTGTTCCGTTAATTGATTTGCCTTCATTGAAATAATAATTACAAAGCCATCTTATAAATAACATTAAAAATTTTACAATGTTTTTTTTATTTAAATTAACGTGCATGTGACATTTATAGTCATTAGCACGAGTTATGATTTACATGGGAATATCATATAAATTACAAAATAACAGTAGTTAACATTTCACATAAAGAGAAAATAATAAAAACTTGTAACATAACATTTATATTTTGTTGGGGAGTTGTTTTACCTTTTCTCGAGGAATTTGATAACCTTGTTGATTTGGTCTGTACTGTTTACTACCTCTTTGAAGTTAGTACTAATATCGAGCTGTTGGCGTATTTTGGCATAAAAAGGGCATTCGATAAGTTAATGCCTGATTCGGAGAGTCTTATTGCAGTGCTGACATTTTGGTTGTGGAGATGATGTCATCAGGTAGCCATGAGTTAGACGGGTATGTCCTATACGCAATCTCCGTATGATTGTCATATTTTTTCGAGATAAACTGGTATAGGTAAAAAGGTTCACTGATATTTTAATTTCATGCAGCGCTGAAGTCGCATTATTCCAGTGAATCTGCCAGGTGGATAGATTAAGCTTCCTCAGTCTATCTTTGAGATCGTTGCAAATTTGTATATTAATAATGGCGTCCGTGGATGATGTGGCTTTTTTGGTAATTATGTCGCTTTTTTGGTAATTATGTGGCTTTTTTTGGTAAGGCAACCAGTTTTTTCATTACCACTAATACCGATATGAAAAGGTACTTATATCAGAGTAATAGTTGTATTTTTGTTTATAAGAAGCTGATATGTGCCATGAATATCTTGGACGATAGGATGGTTGGTGGATATAGCATGAATAGAGTGTATAGAGGAAAGTGAATCAGAGCATATGGCTATGTGTGTATTTGGATATTGTTGGGCATATTTGAAAGCATGTGAGATAGCTAGTAGTTCACCTGTGTGGATACTACACTAAGGAGAAATTTAAGAGAGTTCGATAAGTCGTTGGTTACAAAATATCCAACACCACTTTCAGTCTTTGACGCGTCAGTGTAAAGAAATATGTTATATTTATTTATAAGTTCTAGAAAGAGAATTCTTAATGTACTAATACTAGTATCTTGCTTGTTAAATTTGGTGGGGTAAATATCATTGTTAATGGTAAAGTTCTGGTTTCAGACAAATTTATATCTTTTAGTAACGGTTGTAGAAGACTAGGAACAGGATGTATAATTAAGTTACATGGAGGGTTGTTATTGGGCTGGTCAAGTTTTTAAAGTATTACTACTTGGAGAAATATCATTTGGTAAAAAAAATAGTAGTGATACTTTAAAAACTTGACTTAAGTGAAATATTGTAAAACTTTAATTTGGTAATTTATATCATTGTTCTATTGTAGCAATTGTTTACATACTTCAAAAATACTTTTCTTTTCCGTTCTTTGATTTGTCATAAGGGTGTACAAAGGCATATCAGACTTTTAATTTTTCTGATATCTGTGAAATTTGTAATGATTCTCTTATCCTGATCATTTATTTTTGTGTTCTATAAAATGTTTGCTAGCCTTCTGTGTTGTATTTTGTCGGAGGCTGTCTCTAAGTCAACTAGACATATAAATACATCACAGTGACATCTCAACACGATTCTATAAGCCTTTACTAAATTCCAGTTGGTTTCCTTTTATTCTATCGTCTAGTTTTTTGTAGACCAATTCACATTTTACTCGCAAAAAGACTTTTAAAACATGGTTCATCAATCTGATGATTGGGATGAACCATGCTTTCGAAATTTCCCGGGTATAGTAAATTTTATTGAATAATTCTATTAGTATATCAATATGGTTGTCTGTTCGTAGTCTTAAGATTTCTGTAGATATTGCATCAGCTCCCATAGCCTTATCATTTTTTATACGTTCTAGTCCTTTGTCAATTTCTTCTTTGGTAATTGTAGGTTCATTTATACCTCTTGGTTCTCTTGTCTCCATTCTTTTGTTGTCTTCAAACAGCTCTTTTTCACGCATTTATTTTCTCTGTGTGTTCAATTATTATTTTGTTGTTTTTGTCCAGTATATTTCCAATATTGTTTTTTGTATGCTAACTGTTTCTTTAAGTTTTTCATTTCTGCACATTTTTTTGATAGTCACAATTCCTTCGCTTTTTTGATTTTTGGTTATTGTTTTATGTAACTAAGTTTTTTTATTGTTGTTTTTTTTTGTGTTATCCATTATTAGCTTGTAGGCAAATGTATTTCTTCACATTTCTGAAGCGTTAAGTTGTCCTTATTTCAACTTTCTGGTCTTCCTTGTATATTTATTCTTTGATCTGTTCTTTGATCTGTTGGCAGAGATAATCGCCTTTTAGTCATCTTAGACTAATTTTAGGTGTTTGGTGGCTGTTTTTATTTTTTCTTTTTAGTTTCAGTTTCATGCTTGCTAATACAAGTTGTGGTCACTTTCCCTGGGTAATCTTTAGTTGACACTTATAATAATGATGTGGTCAATCTGGTTTCTTACTATATTCTCACCATTATCTCCAGGCGCTTTCCAGGTGTATATTCTTCTGACTGGTAGTTTGTACCATGTATTCTTGATAATGAGTTCGTTGTCCTTGGAAAACTGAACTTGTGTCTTTCTTCTCTCATTACGTGTTTCTAATCCATATTCGCCCACCACTTTCTATCTATTCATTTACCTACCTTTGCATTGAAGTAGCCTAAAATAATATTAACTTTCTCTTTTTGGGTTTCTTCCTTCTTCGTGTCTATCTTCGTTTTTATTCTTGTCCACTCCTCTTAGTACTCCTTTATGGTCTCTAACATTTTTCTTTTTCGAACTCTTCTTTTCTGATTTACTTTTATCAGTTTTCTTTGTCAGTTTTTTAGTCAGTGTAGTTATCAGATTTTGTTGTTGGGTAGACTCTTGTTTCTGTGATGAATTCTTTGGCGTAGCTAAGGTAAATTGTGAGATGTCTTCAAAAAATGTTTTAGAATTTGGTGTTGGTGTTTCTGGTGCACTGTGTGGTTTAGGTTTTTCTGATCATCCTGCCATCATCTTCATTTTCGTCCTTTTCCATATTTCTTAAGTCTTTGGCTTAAAAGGTCTTAAATACCAGCGAATATTAAATGTATTAGTAGTAGATAATTTTTGCAAACAAAATGCATATGATTGACACAATAAACCTTTTACACAGTAATAAATTTTAAAAAAATCAGAAATTAAATTAAATTAAATAATGAAGTAATATAAATTAATTTATAAAGTGAATAATTCAAAACGAAATGAAAACAAATTACAATAAGTATTCAAAATGTTCAAACATTAGCTAAACTACTTAATCTAAATTTTTTGTGTAAGTTTTGTTTTATTTTAATTAATGAGTTTCTTTGGGCCCTAATTACGTTAACTCCCTTTACGATATTTTGCCATAACTCTTGACGGTTATTTATTTTTTTATATAAACAAGTGACTTTAGGTAGCCCCACAAGTGAAATTCTAGAGGATTTAGTTCGGGACTGCGTGCTGGCCATGGGTATACTCTACCTCTACCAATCCACCTTTTAGGATAAATTGCATCCGGATAATTTCTAACTTCTAGGCTATAATGTGGTGGTGCACCACCATGCATTTGCCATGAGTTACATCTCAATTTCAGAGGTATGTCTTCTAAAAGAGTTAACAGTGAATTTTCTCTCAAAAAATTTAGATACCTTACTCCGTCAAGCCTAGTTGGTAATTCGAATGGTCCTACAATACAATCCCCAAATATGCCACACCAGATATTTATGGAATACTAATGTTGAAAATTATGTTCTTGAAATTTATGAGGATTTTCTGTTGCATAGGTATAGCAATTGCGCCAGTTAAACACACCTCTTCTAGTAAATGTGGCTTCATCGATAAATAAAATTTTATTATAAAACATTGGATTGTCTAAATGCCGCCCTATCATTAACTGACTAAATCCTGCTGACTAAAACCTTGCTGGAAAATTCTGTGATAAAAGATTCTATATTGGAGTAAAACGATACGGATACAAATTTTCTGTCCGTATTATTCTTGACACCGTAGATTTGCTTATATCGGTGGCTGCAGAAATAAGCCTTGAACTGGTTTCTGGACCTTCTGCAACACGCACAGCAATTTCATCATCCATATCTCTCGGTCTTCCAGCATTCCTGTTTTTGGGATGAAATGACCCTGTTTCGCCTAATATGTCGAACAATAATCTAATAGTTTTATGGTTTGGTTGCCTTTTATTGGGATAAAGTTCGAAATAGCGTTGAGCTGCTTTACGAGAACAAAAATTTTCCTGGGCATACAAACAGATCATATTTCGCATTTCTACATTAGAAAATTCACTATAACGTGGCATTTTACCTTTATCTTAAGTGATTTAAGTACTTTGACAAATAATGACTCGCACTGCACTTTGACAACTAATAATAAATAAATTCGTAATTACGTCTTGACGTTGCCGTTAAGTTCAAATCATACTTGTTTTGCAAAAAATTAAATAAGAACATGCATTAATAACACTACTACTACTACTTGTCGTTTTATAACGTTCTCCGTCATTTTCCTATTTCCAATCGCCACTTAGTACGGTTGTTCCATAGGTCTTCTTCTATGGCCCTCTCTCTCAGTTTTTTATTGATTCGTTCGGTTCAACTTTTTCTCGGTCTACCTCGTATTCTCTTTCCTTCTGGTTGCTGTTTTAATATTTCTTTTTGTATTCGTTGTTCATCCATTCTTTGTATGCGTCCGAACCAGATAAGTTGTTTTATTGTTAGGTCATCTGTGATTGTTCATTTGATTCCCATTATTTCTCTAATGCGTTTGTTGGTAATCCTTTCATTTCTAGATCTTCCTGCGGCTCTTCTCCAAAAATCCATTTTCATCGCTTTCAGCTTTGGCAGTGTTCTTTCTTTCAGTGGCCATACCTCACAGCTGTATAAAGTGATACTTTTTACTATAGTCTCATATATCCTCTTTTTAGTTTCTTTGCTGATGGATTGATCCCATAAAATGCTGTTTAACATTGTGATGTGTTTTCTTCCTGACGTATTTCTCTCTTTTATGGCTTTGTCTAATGTTCTATCTTGTGAAATAGTGATACCTAGATATTTGTAGTCACAGCAGTGCTGTATCGTGGTGTTACCGTCTAATATGAGATCTTTTTGTTCCACTCCAATGCACAGGTATTCGGTTTTCTTTTTATTTACTTTTATTACCCATATATCATACTCTTCAATTAATTTTCATGCCATATAGTTTAAATATAGAAGAATTCTACGCGTGTCCTGGACAGAACATAGAACCAACCTGTCAATTCTGGAAGAGCTTCATATAAAAGACAGGCTACTAAAAAAAGTAAACCAAGCATACCTAACTTACTTCGGCCACATAGCTAGAAGAACGGGCACCATGGAACTATTGGTAGTAGAAGGTAAGGTAGAAGGCCGAAGACCAAGAGGAAGATCTCCAATACGATGGGTGGACCAAATGAAGAGTTTGGTGGGAAAATCCCTACATGAAGCCGTCCATATGGCACAAGATCGCAGTCAATGGAGACAGCAGACTAATAATATTTAGGGTGTCACTACGCTCTGACAAGGGCTTTCGCTTGTGTTCATGCATTCTAGAAATAATTGTTAAAGACATTTGTACAATTTGTTCGTTCCGTACTTACAAAATTCTCCTTGTATATCCCCTGGTCCGGGTGCTTTGTTCCTCTTCAGCTGTTTACATACATTTTTAATTTCCTCTGTTGTTAATCTTATTTGCGAGCCGACTATTGAAATTCTATCTTGGTTTTGATTTCTATGTTCTTGAAATTCGACTCTATTCTCTACCAAAGTTCTTTGAAATACTCTTCCCAGTCAACAGGTTTTATGCTCTGAATTACTTCTTTATTCTTTTCTTTCCTCAATTTTTTTATCAGTTTCCAGCTTTCTGTGCTTCTGGTTCCTCCTATATAAGTATTTATTCGTTGGCAGTTTCTTTCCCAAAACTCGTTCTTCTTCTTAGAGATTTACCTTCGTATTTCTGCTTGTTTTCTTTATATTTTATTTTGTCTTGTAATGATTTGGAGCTTAAATATTGTTGGTATAGTTGTCTTTTACATTTTATTTCTTCCTCTATTTTGTTATCCCACCATTATGGTTTCTTACCTTGGGTTTTATGTAGTATCTCATTGTTTCAAATGCTGCCTCGTGTAAACAGTTTTTTTATATGTTCATATAACTGGTCGATATTCTTAGGGGTGGGAAAGTCTTGGATACTTTCTTGTGTGTTTCTGTAGAACGAAAACTAGCAACATTTTGCCTAGGTAAATTGAGCTTAAATGCTTTTTTTTAAGTCATCATCAACATAAAATTTAATCTTATTTGTAAACTTAACTGTATTCTACTGTATATTTACATTATGTACACATTTGACACATTTGCACTTATTTCTGGCCAGCTTTTTTGCTTCGGTCCATGTTTTCCCCGTTTTTGTGATATTTTCTAGGGTTTTACCCCGTGTTTGTCGTGGTCTACTTTTCTGCTTTCTTTTTTGGGTTTTTGCCCGCTAAATTACTTTCACCGGATTTGTATTCTCCATTCTCTGAAAATGACCCCACCAAATGAGTTTCCTTCATTCTATATATTCTAGTGTTGAATTTATTTGCAAATATTTTCTTATTTGAGTACTCCGTAGCATATTTCTTTTGATAACTCTCCGAACCCGTCGCCTCTATTTTACCTTTTGTCGCTCCGGTAGTACCCACGATTTAGTATTAACCAAAGGTTAATACAGGCCTATATATGAACTTGAACACATTAATTTTCGTTTTCCTTGTAATTTCAGTCTTATTTATGAATTTATTATTCATTGCATAATGTGGATTCATGTTTTTTTGAATCATAATACTATTTTCTGTTTCCTGTCTTCCGTTGTCTTCTAATTCTACTCCTAAATATTGGTAGGTTATTGCTTCCTTCGTTCGTTACTATGACGAGTAAAAATAACTTTAAATCGGTAACAGACCTACATTTTCGTTTGTAATAATTATAATATTATAACTTGCAGATATTGTTTGTTTTATTTGTTTTTTTTTTTTAAATTATAAATAAAAATAAAAAAATACATTATAATGGAAAATAATTCAAATAAATTTTACGTCTTGTATTAAAAAGAATAATTAATTTATAAAAAAATTCTAAAAATTTTGAAAAAAAAACTACGTTCATCTTTTTCTTGATATTATAAATAAAATGGACTGTATATGAGGATATGAATAAATAAATATCAAATATTGCAATCAAAACTATTAATTAGTTATTGTGACAAATTTTGTACATTTTCAAAATAGAAAAAATTATAACCTTAATTAAATTTATTAATTGTCGCCATAGCTACTATTAAAGGTATCTTCCTCATCGCTGTCAGTTGCCTGCAACATCATTTCAGCATCTGCAAATTAAATATCGTTTAGTTGAACAGATGGTTTTAACAAGAGTTACAATAGGAACAAAAATTTCAAATAATTGAAAATCACAGTCTTAATAAACAAGAGAAACAAGAGACAAATATTGTAAAAAAAAGTTTAAAAAAAGTTAATGCTTGAAGTATCAATACGTTTTCTTTTTTTATGCAAAAAAGAAAACGTCATGATGCTTCAAGCATGCCACGAAACTTGCATACAAAAAAAAATTAAAACGTTTAGATGCTTCAAGCATGCCACCGAATTTGCATACGAAAAAAATAAAACATCTTGATGCTTCAAGCATGTCGCCTACAAACTGTTTCAATTAATTAAAAAAACGATCTATGTTTCAAATGTAGTGTAACGCGCATTTGAGGCAACCATATTCAATGGAACCAAATGATAGTGGTTGGACTTTGAACAACTATAATTGGACGTAGTTAAGCAGAAAACGTCCAACCCAAAAAAAGTGATTGTTGGGAAATTGAGTTTAAAAGATTTTAGTGTGCCCTAGCTAAACTATGCATAATTTATTCGCCTGGCAATGATTTTAAGATAATGATATTCATCTCGTAGGCACCTCGTTTGTAATTTCTTTTAAATGTAAGTTTCAATGAAGTTATTTTGAAAATTTTAGGTTGGACGTTTTTAACAAAAAACAAAAATCCGAAAAAAATTTCGATAAAACATACTTATGTGGGTTGGAATCTTTCAGATAAATAAATAATGTCATATTTTTATAAAAATTTTAATGATCCAAAGAAACAAAATTACAATGATTTTCTTATGTAAATGTAAATTTAAAAAAAGTTTTAATTATTGTGGGTATCTACCTCAAAATCTAGAACTGGAACATTAAATCCATCAACGTCTTCGACTACATTAGCACTTGTAAAATTTTCATAAAACGGTTTAGCGTCTGAAGGAATTAGATGTAAATAGCTTTTAATATCGTTAATTTTATCCTCTGACAGGGGTTTACCATTGGGCCAGAGTTGCATAAGCAGCGCCGAAAAGCTCTCTGTATTTAATCGTCCTCGTCGCTCAATATCCAAACATACACTTTCATCGCCAAAATAACTAGGTTTCATAAAGATGTGGTAAGGATTTTCTTTTGTTAATATAATTTGTTTTGTCTCCAACCAATTTATTTTTTCTTTATTGGTGCCAACTTTTCTGTTTATTGTGGCCTTCTCGAGCTGGTGGGTACTCAAAAACCATTCCTTTTTCATTTGTGCAGCTGTTATTGGAGACTTTTTACGACATGAATTTATTATATTTATATAGTCTAAAGGTGTATATATTCGTTCTTGACGTTTGAGTTGACATTCTATATCCCCAAAATCTTTATCATTTGGTAGAAAACTATGGCCGGAAATCAGGAATTTAAATGTTATAGTTTTTATATTATGGCTGGTTTGAAGAAGACTGGCCATGAGGAGTGTTATTTTAATATTACGGTTCTGGCCTCCACAAGAATCAGACCACAATATAAGATGTTCAACAGTACTTTCTATGTTTTCTAAATATTTTACAATACAGGAACCAACCTCCTGAGCTCCTCTTCCAGCAGTTCCTTCAAGCCATACATAGGAATAACTCTTATTACGTTTGCCTGAAAATACACCGAGATTATACAAGCAAACTTGCCTCTTATAATATATTACATTGGTTGGAATTTTGGGTAAAGGTAGAGTTTTTTGAAGATCGTATGTTAAACACTCTACATTATCCTCATCTTTAGCTCGTTTTAAATCTGCCTTTAATGTTTCTCGTGATTTTTGGGCCAAATCCTGATGAGTGTCGAGTTCAATTTGTAAAAGTTGCTTTTTATGATCATCCGTTTCATTTTGTAGTTTTATTTTAAATGAATCACATACCTGGCATGTGTCCTTCTTGGGAACATTAAATCTCAAATTAAATTTTTCGTAAAAAATCCTCTTATAAATACCAAATTTCACAGGGTTTTGAACTTCAGATTTGTATAGATCATAAATCTTTAATAATGAGAGATGTGCCGGTAAAAATAATGCAGACGTGTTTTCACGACAGTAGTGCGATATGTACTTAGGCAGTTTATTGATCTGGTTGATTATTTCCTGAATTTTATTTTCAGGGACTTTGTTTAAACCACCTTGTTTTCTACCTCTTTGATCAAGAATTGGAGCACGATTGTTTACCTTTCTCAGAGCTGTTGTTACTCTTGACGGAGTTATTCTAAGACTATTGATAAACATTTGCCTATAAGTAAGGAATATTGTCTGGAATACAGACGTCTTTCAGTGTTTCTTCCATACATTCTTTTTTTCGGCATTTCGTGGATATTATTGGCAATAAAGATAGTTTGGGCATTATAAGACCCAAGACTCCAAAAACGATCAAATTCTTGTTTTCGTGACTCTGTAGAAATCAACTCAGAACATTTCATCGGGCAGTTACAATTGTAGTCATATTGAAATTCTTTAGCAGCTTTCAATTTTCCTTTGTAGTCAATGTAAGATTCATTTTTGTTCCTATTAATCTTTGATGTTGCTCGCGTCATTGCAAATTTCTTTTTTCTACCCTTCTTTGGACGACCTGATGTACTGGCTAAAAATGGATTATCATCACAACTTTCATTGTTATCGGAACTCTCTTCATGTGACGATGGTATAAACATATCAGAGGAACCGCTACTAAAGACATCACTTATTGACATATTCTGTAAGAATAAAAAGGTAGGTATTATTAGATAATATTTTAAATAAAAATTTCAAAAAATTATAGAAAGCGTCTATTTTAATTAAAGAAGTTAACTTTTAATCAATTACCAGGTACCAAAAAATAAAACAAATTCAATTCATTCAAATTAATCTTTTTCATAAAGTTTACTATAGGTACTCATCGAAAAATAATTTTCATATGCTTTACATTATTGTATAATTACTTTAATCAATAATAATTGATGATCATAATAATAGGTATCAATTTAACATTGGTATAATAAGATTAATACATATGTGTTTACAAAATTGTGTGTACCTAAGGAAGTTGTATTTTTTCTTTTAGATTGTAACAATAGGTACATCAAAGTTTAGTTTTCATTAAATAGAAATAATATAGCGAATAGCATTATAAAGCATTTTACTAAACAGTATAGGTACAAAGATTTAATACTTACATCATAATCATCAACAGAATCTATGGTAGAAGCTGATTCAAAACATCCAGTTTTCTCGTTTAAAACCATTTCACGAATACGACTATTGGATGACGATGGTTCGCTGTGACGGTAGAATTCTGTCACATTGGTATCATCCATATTCTACAATATATTTAAATTATGTAATGATGTATAAAATGCATTTATTTTAAAAATTTAGTAAACAACATAAACTTTTAGAAGCCGTGTCTTATAAACTGATTATTTTTTCGTGATTTTCGGCCAGATTAAAGAAATACCACAAAACTCTATTTTCTTCTATTTTCTTTATTTTTTTTTTAAGATTTAGTAACAAAATAAATTGAAACGTCGTAAAAAAAAAGAGAGTTTTGTGTTATTTCTTCAATCTGGCCGAAAACCACGAAAAAATAATCAGTAAACAACATATAGTTATTTTTTAATAAAAAATTTCCGACTTACCTCAACATTGGTAATATTTGAATCAAATTCCACGCTAGACATTACACTATTTGTTTGGTTTTCCATAAGTTTTGCTAGCTCACACATGTATTTGCTTCTTTTCGACATAATTATTATTAAATAAGTATTTTTAAACCCGAACAGTCAGAAAAATCAGACACAACTGAATAAAAAGAAATGTTTATCAATACATAGGCACATTTACTTAAAACTAAAGGAAAGTGATTACTATGCTTAAGATGAGTACCTATAATAAATTAATTTTTATCGACCAAGTTCCAGGGTTTATACGCACAAGGCACGTTTTAAACATTAATAGGGCACATTCCCGTAATAAAATTTTATTATCGACCGAAATTGAAGATTCAAACTACTTTTAACATATTAATGAAATAGTAAACGTAAAATGATACCAAGTGGTTTGGACGATTTCTGATTATACTCTTATTTTTAACAAGTATACCGAAATTTATAAGTAGAAAACATCCAATTCACTTGGATGTTTTTAACACAAAAAAATGCACAGTAGTTTTGTTATCGCATGGAGCGTTAAAGTGATCCAACCCACTTAGCCTGTTTTAACCACTCTTTTAACACGATTACTTAGATCGACATACATTTTTTAGAAAAAATTCAACCCACTTGGATTTTTTATTATCAATGAAAATCTCAGTTAACCTAGTTTGTGGGTTAGAACTTTGACGATTATTAAAAGAGTATGTAATGTTTTCACTTGGACGGTTTCTGCATATTATAAAGCAAGAAATTATATGCTCGCTGGTGTAAAGAACTCATTTTTAACAATTTGTGGGTTGGACGTTTTCTGCTTAACTACGTCCAATTATTACTGGTTTCACGGATATCAAAGTCCTTCATTTGAAGAAATATTTTCAGATATTGAAGGAACAGTTTAATTAGGTTAAAAAGTTTTAATTAGAAGTGACAATTTTAAGAATGAAAAATGTTTTCTAAAATTGTAGTATAATATTCAAATTGTACTAGTTTTTTTATAATTTGTTTTAAGTCTTTTTGCGATATTTGTCTTTCACATTTCTTTTCTCTATTAAGACTGTGACTTTTAATTATTTGAAATTTTTTTCCATTGTAACTCTTGAAAAAATCATATTTTACTATGTAAGCGATATTTAATTTGCAGATGCTGAAAATCATTCTGATGCAACTGACAGCGATGAGGAAGATACCTTTCACCCTTAACAGTAGCGATGATGACAATAGTGATGAGAGCGACGACAATTTATAAATTTAATATATTTTGTAACTTTTTTTTTTTCCTATTTTGAAAATGTACAATGTTTTAAAAATTATTCAATTAATATTTTTTAATGCAATAGTTAATATATATTTGTTTATATTCTTAAATACAGTCGATTTTATTTATAATATCATAAAAAAGATGATTGAATTTTTTTCTTGATTTTTAAAATTTTTTAGACTTTCATTATTCTTTTTAATACAATAGTTGATATGTATTATATTCCATTTTAACGTATTTTTATTTATATTTCGTGAAACAAATAAAACAAACAAAAGCTTCAAACTATAATATTAAAATTATTACAAACGACAAAAGGTCTATTATCGCTTTAAAATTATTTTTCTCCCCAGCTTCTAGTTATACCTCAATAAATTTGTTGTCAGACACTTACCACGTAATAAATTCTGATTGTCTGCATATATCTTTTCAATGTCTGATGGTCATTAATAAATTTTTTGATCATAAAATCAACCACTTTCACTCGTCAGACAGGAAAATGGAAAAACAATTTCCGTCAGACAATATGAAAAGTTGTTTTTGCAGCTGTTAATGAAAGTATCCTGACAAAATTAGATGGTTATCTATAAATTTCGTTATAGTCATTTTTCCGACATGTTTGAGACGGCACACGAGTTGAATGTCACCTATTCATCGTCAGACAATTTTTTTTTTCGTGGTTTTCTTATAATTTCTAAGCTGTTAAATTAAAAAGTATAGCAGTATCTAAAAATTTTAGATATGTCGTAAAATCGACATGTTTCGGGAAAGCTAGAAAAAAAACTCTTTAGAACAAAAAAAAGTCACAGAGGGAAACCTTATCAGAATATACCTAATGAAGCGATATTCAAAATTTAGAGAGAGAGAGAGATAATTGTTTTTCAAAAATTTGCTTATTGTGGGATTGGCAAGTAAATAATAAATCAATTGAAATATATACGCATTATATTATTTTTGTTTAATTAAATCTCGTAAATCTCAAAAACGAACACTAGCAAAATTGGAGGATGCGCCTAAAATGATTCTCTAACTGAAGCTATTACATATTTGACATATCTTGATCTTGAGTGACGATTGTGTTAATTTTAGAAATATTACTTTCGGGAGTGCTTTTTCTCCAGAACAGGACATGGAATATTAGTCACTTTTTCAAGAATAAGAAATGAAATATTCACTTTTTGACAATCATTTCAACCATCATTAATTTGTAATTATTAATGTATACGGAATTGGTTATAATTGTTAAATTGTATCGACTTATTAGAAAAATCGACTTAGAAATTTTTATTTATATTCATTATAAACATTACATGCTACATACTACATACTACAATACAGCAGCTTTCCAATAATATTTATCTATCTTGTTCCTTTTAGTCTAGCCTTAATTGTAGATTTGCTCTCTCTCTTTTTCTTTCTTCTTCTTCACTTTTGTAGAATATTAGGCACCTCTGAGTTTCTAGGCCAGCAGTGTAAGATGGATGACTGGCCATCCTGGCTCTCCGGTAGATATTCGAGTTCTTGTAATTACCATGTTTTCTCTTTTGTTGTAGCGGAGACAATATATTTTGTTGTGCTCTTTCCCACAATTTTCTATTGATTATTGTTAGGATAGTATAGTCCGACAAGCGAGAGCTGGCGGGTGAGCTGCCCGAAAATAGAAAAGGAATTATTCTAAAAGAGATAGGAGAGGTACTTAATCGCGATTATAGGTATATAGTATAGGTACTTAAACGGTTATACACGATGTGAACTTCTAGCCGACTGCAATAGAAATGAGCAATCCCTTCCACTTTTCAATTTGTTCTACGCGCAACCCGCCAGCTCTCGCTTGTCGGGTTATATATCTCTAGCGTATTTCTTAAATATCTATTTATAAAATCTTAAATATCTTAGGGTAGTTTTCTGGTTGTAATTTTATCATACTTCGAAGTTTCTGCTCCGTATAGTTTTAACTTAATTTTAGCTATTAAAAATGTTTATTTTTTATTGTTTCTAATGTCACTTGTTTGTCAAATTTTGTTAATTGTTGAAAGCTTGTTGTTCCTTTTTTATTTTCGTCTATATATCCTTGTTGGATCCACATTTATTTCGCATAATTGATCCCAAATATGTAAATTCCTTTCTTCTTCTTCTTCATTCCAGAGGTTAGGCATTTGTTTACTGTGTTGATGTCAAACTTCACGTTAATAGAATAAATTTTAATAGGGATTAAATATCCCCAGAAATGATATATTAATAATAATGGGCGACTATAATGCAAAAGCGGAAAGGAAAGATTATAAACGAAATGTCGCGGGCAAAGAAAGAAGATGAAAAGACGATGAAGTCACAAATGATAATGAAGGCAAAATCTGCAATCTAACATCTGCAACAAGCACGTATACAGTCCATACAAAACATCTGCTAAAAACAGAACACAAGATAACGTGGATAATACCGGGAAGAACGAATGGCAATCAAATAGACCATGTGGTAATTTTAAAAAAGTGGACACAAATAGTACAAAATGTGAGACCTTATAGAGCAGCCAAGTTAAAAACACTAGAAACAAAACAAGAATATCCAGAAGAATTAGGACAGAAACTAAGAAGATGCAACAATCACAATCAGGATGTAAGAAAAATATAGCACAACATAAAACATCATAATACAAACTGCCGAATAAATAATAGGACCCCAAGAAAGAAAATAAAAATCGAAAGCATGATTTAATGAGCAATGTCACAAACAAAGTCAAATTAAAAACCTCGCGAAAAATAATTGGCTAAAAAGTGGAAGGCAGAATCTACTCAAAATAATACCGAACAGAAAATTAAGAAGCCATATAACTCTATAGAAAAAGAAAGAGACATTGATCTGAACAAACACAACGTTCAAAAACAAAAATAAGTACAAGAGACTGTTTGAATATATAAAACAACAATATTGTATGTACCAAAAAATAAGTATAAAAATAAACAAAAAAGATTGGGAAAATATTTTACGGATCTATACAAAACCAGCTAAGACACATATGTAGAAGATGAAGGAAATTACAGACAATAGAAATGCTGGGGAAGACGTACCTACCTATCTAGAATTGATAGATGTCGTAAAGCAACTAAAACTAAATAAAATTCCTAGGCAAGATAACATAAACTCACGAGAGGAGCTGCTAAAACTGATATACAAATGAATGGTCAATATTTGGAAGGACGAAAACATGCCTGTAGAATAGAAAAAGGGACATATCACACCCATTTTAAGAAGGGGGTTCTAACTGAGTGCAGCAACTATAGAATTGTTCTAAAGCTATTTTCTTGTGGCACTTTAAAGTAATTACTATTTAAATGGGAATAAGCCACAATTAAAGGTTAAAGTAAGTTTATTGACGATTCAATTTCCACTTCGAAAGTCGTTCTCAAAATACAAACATTAGTAAATTAATCAAATTTTGATTTTTTGTTACTTGGTGAAAATTTCTTTAATAATTTAATTTTATCCGACTCATTTATATTGACAATTCAGAAATACATTCTACATTTTAAAGTAGGTGACTTTAAAATGATGTTGCCAATATTGTTGAGTTGCGTTCCTGGGACGACTTGTAAAATAGTTCATTCGATTACATGAAATCAACTTTAACTTGAGAATATCCGTCAGAAAAAATCATAGCATGTAAAATTCTAATTCGTCTTTTAAAAGACAAACACATGATATGATAACAGTAAAATTCTTCTGTTAGTGATTGCATAGTAAATTATGAGGGAAACACCAGGAAAAAACCTCATAGTTCTATCCCGACATGGTAAATATTTGGTCGTGCATTTTAGTTTACTTTCAATTAACACCAAATTCTGATTTTATATGTTTGTTATTTAAAAAACATAAATGATGTATCCTCTACATGTTACTGACTTACTAATACTGGTATTTTCCTTTTTAAGGAAAATAGGAAGTTATTAAAAGGAAAATACCAGTATTAGTAAGTCAGTAACATATAGAGGATACATCATTTATATTTTTTAAATGACAAACATATAAAATCAGAATTTGATGTTTATTGAAAGTCAACTAAATGTCCGACCAAATACTTACCATGTCGGGATAGTATTATGTGGTATTTTTCCTGGTTTTTTCCTCATAATTTACTATGGAATCACTAACAGGAAAAGTTTGCTGTCATCATGGCATGTGTTTTTTTTTAAGACGAATTCTATGCTATGATTATTTCTGACTGATATTCTCAAGTCAAAGTTGATTTCATGTAAGCAAATGAACTATCTTACAAGTAAAGTCGTCCCAGGAACGCAACTCAACAATATTGGCAATATAATTTTAAAGTCATCTACTTTAAAATGTATAATGTATGTCAGAATTGTCAATATAAATGAACGTAAATATAAATGTCAAATAAAATTAAATTATTAGAAGAATTTTTCACCAAGTAACAAAAAAAACAAGATTTGTTTAATTTACTAATGTTTGTATTTTGAGAACGATTTCCGAAGTGGAAATTGAAACGTCAATAAACTTACTTTAACCTTTAATTGTAGCTTATTCCCATTTAAATAGTAATTACAACTATAGCGCTATTATGTTGAAACCGACTAAATATAATACTCTTATTCCACTTTTTTGACATTTCCTTTTGTCTCCATTTTTAGGGTATGACCTCATATATCCTTTTCGCTAATGCTCTTCCTTCCATCTTAAACAATTCTGCGATTATTCCACTATACCTAAGGGTCTTGGTCATTTTTCTGCAGTTTGATTGCACGTTTAACCTCTTCTGTCGTTGGCGGTTTTGTTATCATATTCTGTATATTTTCTGCTTCTTCCAATAGGTCATGTACTCTGTGTTCTACATCATGATTGTGAAAGATTTTGGTCAACAGTTTATCAAAACATGTTTTCCAAGTTTCTTTAATTTCTTTAATATTGCTGGGGGTTTCGCCGTTTATAATCCTGTACATATTGATCTTTGTTTTTTGATCAATTTTCTT